GTGCGACCGAGCGCAAGCGGAAATGTTGAAGCGGACGCGATGCGGGGTGGTGGTTGGGGATCAAGAGGCGAGGTGGGTGGAGTGGCGCGGAGCACGAGTGGGAGCGCGGGTGGGAACGGGACTGGAAGAGGTGGTCGTGAGCATGCGAGATACGAGCAAGGAAGTGCGGCAGCCCCTTCGAGTAACCAGTCATCCATCGATAGAGGGAGAACGATGGGCATGGGGCACGAAAGGCAACGGAGTCAATCTGCGCACGGCAAACGACCTAGTGGTGGCAGTGCAGGAGAAGGAAGAGCGTCCTTGGCGCATGTGCGCGGCAGAAGCGGGAGCGTCCCTAGATCGCCTGCTTCGCCAAGTTCAGGAGCAGCGAAGGCCACGTCTCAGCAGGCGAGATCGATCCCCTTGCCACTCGCGGTAGGCCTGGCCCGACGGGACCAGCAAAGCAGTCAGGATCAACGTCAAGCGCTTCTCGCGAGCCGATCGACTCTTTCTGCTGCATCGTCACGCAATGCAGCTGCCCCTTCGCCATACGTTCCGCCTCCGCCTCCGATCCCAAGGGAACCGGTCTTGTGGAGCAACAGTAGCGCCCCTTCTTCCACGACGACATCACCTGCCATGAAGAGGAAGCCCTCCTTCTCGCGCAAACTGTCTTTGGCGAGGAACAAACCTTCTTCGGCTGGTGCGCGTGTTGGAAAGCGAGAAACGGGAGCCGAAGGGTCGTCTGGGCAGAGCAAGAACGATGGGGGAGGCAGACCAGCGGGAATGCTCAGCAGAGCGCTCTCGTGGGCCGTCAAGTAGATGTTGCGCACCCACATCGCCTGTCCTTTGGGTCCACGATTCCGCCTCCCCACTCCTGTGACATGCTTCTGCAGGAGGGTGGGGCTACGGGCCAAGTCGAATGCGCCCACCTGTACCTGCACGCTCTACCTTCATGCTTCTCGTCCCTGGTCCAGCAGCCCGTCTCTTTCCCATCTTCATTCACACGATTGCTCTCACCATCTTCTTCTTGCCACACGAACACTTTAGACTTCATCTACATCCCTCGACAGTCCCAACGCTCAAAGCTCCACCAAGTTCCCCTCTCCATGCCTCTTCTCACACTTCACATTCGATTCCCCCTTTGACACTCTTCAAACCGTTCGTACTTCAAATTCTCAAGCACATTCACACCTTTACCCAACTCTTTCGCATCGTCGCTATTATCCCACACTTCTTCCTCCTCCTTCCCTTTTGCCTCCATCTTTGTTCCTCTTCGTCGTCGCTTTCTCTTGTTATCTTGAAGCTGGCTGGCTGCATATGCCAACTCGTTGTACTCCCATTAATATGCCCCCCCAAAAAAAAACCACAAAAAGACAAATCGCTCGATCGCTTGCTCGATCGATGTTTGACATTCATTCGACGGCGCCCTTTCAGTTGGCGCTCGATGAGATTGTGCCGCGGGTGCAAGGTACGAAAGAATAGGCGGTCTATACTCGTGACTGTGGGCAGCGGATCGAGTGCTGCTGCAGCACTGCTGATCGTCCACAGCCAGCGTGCAGCAGCAGTGTGAATGTGGAAGGAAGTCTTGAGGGCGCAACGTGGATGACATGACAGGTGTGCCAGTGGAGCATCTCTACGAATCGAGTTGGTCGTGAGTTTTTGCTCAGGCACAAGCGCAGAGGAAGATGTTTGCCCCAACGCACCCCATCCCACCCCACCCCACCCGCTCCTCACAATATTAGCACGAAGCTTGTCTATAGGAAATTGCGAATTTGGGATGGCGGGGGAATTGGGAATTGCGGTGACGGGAGGAAAGAAGTTGGGTTGACGTTTTCATCGCTAGCGAGCGCAGAGATTCGAGGTGGACATGGGGGGGGGGACTTGGCAAGGGCGCGCGATAGAGGACTAGGAAAGGGTGGGAAATTTGGCGCGCAGAAGAAAGAGTGTGGATGCGGATGCGGATGCGGGTAGGGCTGGCTGGGACTAGGGGACTAAGCGGGAACGCTCCAGCACACTTTGAAGCTGTACTCGTGCTTGTACACCTTGTCTCCGGCCTGCACAGCCAACCTTTCCAGCTCCTTGACCTTTCCCTCGTCGCTCCTCTTGGACCTGATC